TAAATATATTACAAGAAAATCATTTCAAGTTGGTCGAAAGGTATGGCCTTTCAGTTCAAGATTACATTTATTTCTTGGAAAATTAAAATCAAGATGGGATGGCCCCTATATTGTTGTTAATGTTGCAAATAATGGAGTTGTGAAAATTAGTGACCCAAGAGATGGACTAACGTGACTTAGTCATTGTATAGTAAATCACATAAATTTTAAATTTATAAAACTAGAAAATACTAATTTTCAGATATTTAGAAGTATTTCTAAATAAATATATTAATTATAATTCAATAAAAGTTTCAAAAATTATAATTCAATCATAGGGATGTAATATAATATTAGATAATATTTCAGAATTTTTCTCAAAGGATATGAATCTTTATAAATTTATACTAAGAAAAAAATATATATATTTCAAATTCATGAAAAAAAAGAAATAAGGGTGCGTCAAAATGACATCATCACTCGACAAACGTGAATCGGGCAGAAATAAAGTTTTACCTAGTGATTCTTACGTAAGTTATTACAAATGATTTAATCGGTCAAATTAAAATATGTAAAAGTCAAAAGAATTGTAATTAAATGAAGAATAGTTTAGAAAATTTAAATCACAAAATTTATCTCTAAGTGAAGTAAAAATTAAGTTAAAAATAGGAAAGACAGAGTTCCAACATCACGATGGTGATGCATCGATGATGCACAGGAATCCTAAGCATTCAAGAGGATTGTCATATAATGTCCACAATCTCAAAGGCTCTCTTTGGACAAAGACAATATGGACAATCTCTAGATCTTCTTACAAAGTCTAAAGAGCTATGAAATAGGTCATCGAATCGTCTCTAGTGGTTGTCAACTGATAGAGTAGAAAAATAGTGACTTTACGGCTCTCTGATAGCTATCACCTAATGAAAAGTTGATAAGTTTTCATTATCATGAGTTAATAATTAGTAAATAATATAGTTTTAACTTTAAATCATGATAAATAGACTTATATTTATGTTAAATTATAAAAAGTAGTTTTCAATTGATTAACATGAATTTTTGGCTAATTATTTGATTTTTTACAAATTTATATAATTTTTATAGTCATATTTTTGAGATAAATGAAGAAAAAGAAATTAAAATAAAAATATAGCAAACGGGGGGGACTTGTCGGCCAATAGGGCCCGCAAATAGGTTGGAAGCATAGTCGGAGGGAGTTGTGAGTAGAAGCTTGAGCAGCTAGGACTGATGGGGACACGTGTGTGCCACTCCCCTTTCATGTTACCCGTGGCCAATCAGTTGTGAGGCAAAGAGTGGTCATACACGCGAGAGAACGAGACTCATTATTTACAAATATGATATTATTATATATTCACCCAAAACTTTGGCACACAAGTGATGTACGACTAAATCCACATCACATCTTCCTCTAAAAGGCTTTGAAGATTTTAATACCTAAACTATCCCTTCGTTATATTAGAGATATACAATGATGACGTCACTTGATAAGGGCATTACAATACTTATTTCAATCTCTCTCATATAGGTGGGCAATTAGTGTGGGTTCAAATCCTCCTAAAGCCAAAAGTCGTATTTTTATTTGGTTATCGTGACTTTTCTACAGATCACTAGTGAAGGATTAAGCCACCAAAATCACTAGATCATCGACAAAAATCTCGTCAACAAGATTTATGGAGTAATGTTATTAAAATTGTTGAACGATCCACCAGAAGATGAGTCTCCACCTCTTGAGAGCGTATCGGATGCGATGAAGAGTCTTCTCTTGTTGCACGAACCTGAAGATGAAGCTCCCTAACACACGCCCCACCTCCATTTAACTCTTCTCTGTTAGGTGATAGCTGTCGAAGAGCCACAAAGTCACCATTTTTTTATTTTACCAGGTGATAGCCGTCAAAGATGATTTGATGACCTATTTCATTGATCTCTAGACTTTACAAAGAGATCTAGAGATTGTCTATGTTATCCTGTCCAAAGAAAACCTTCGAGACTACAGACACTACATGATGATCCTCTCAAATGCTCAAGATTCTGATGCATCACCAACGCATTGCCGCCATGATGTTAGAACTCTGTTTTCCTACTTTCAACTTATTTTCACTTCATTTAGTGATACTTTGTGTGATTTAAATTTACTAAGTTATACTTTATTCAACTATAATTCTTTCGGCTTTTATAGATCTTAGTTTGATCAATTAAATCATTTGTAATCACTTACATAAGAATCATTAGGCAGAACTCTATTTCTATTGGATCTGTGTTCGTCAAGTGCTAACATCATCTTGATATCCACACCCTTATTTTCCTTTTTCATAAATTTTAAATATATTTTATTTTTATTTCTTAATATAAAATTCATAAAAAGTCATATTCTGTGAGAAAAATTCTAAAAGAATACCTAATATTATATTACATCCCTATGATCGACTTGGAAAATTATCTCTATTTTTGGAAGTTTTATTGAATTATATTGATATATTTTTTAAAAATATTTCTAAATATCCAAAAATTGATATTTTCTAGTTTTATAAATTTAAATTTGTGTGATTTATGATATAATGATGAAGTCACGTCAATCTAAAATTCATAAAAAATTATATTTTTTAAAAATAATTCTAAAAAAGTTTTTAATATTATATTACATCCTTATGATCGACCTAGAAAATTCTCACTAGTTTTGGAACTTTTATTGAATTATAATTGATATATTTGTTGAGAAATACTTGTAAATACTCAAAAATTAAGATTTTCTAGTTTTATAAATTTAAATTTATGTTATTTTAAATTAATCTGAATTATTTACTGTTTTTTTAAAATTACTTTTCATGTGCCTTAGCCATTTTATATATAGCCATTTTTATACAAGATTTGACACAATTGCTATCCCATGCATATCATTTATAGTGTAAGGTATCTATCAATGCTATTTCTTGATGAGGTGAATTCTTTTCCTTATTTATGTAGTACAATTATTATTATATGTAGAGTACTAAGAAACATGCTTAAAACTATGAAAATGTTTGAAGTATATACCTCAGGAAATATTTTTATACCAAAGGTAGTTTTACTACCTATGCTTGGCATAGATCATATAATCATTTGAGAAGGTTATCTCATATTAGCTCTGATATATAATTGATCCATGATTACTTGATGATGTTTCTTAATTTTTACATATATGTTTTATTTTCATTGCTTAGGGACTAGCAATGATTCAAGTTGGGGATGTGATAACTTGTGAAAACTATATGTTAATCTATTATCAAATCAGGGAGAAGAATGCATATTTCAGAAATATTTCACAAGTTCTCATGTTAATTATTTTTTTTGTTATTTAAATGAACCTCTCTAAATCTTAATTTAAATTGGTATTTTATGAATAAAAAGAAAATTGATGAGAATTTATTTCATATCTTGAGGGTTAATTTTCATTTATTTTATTTTTAAAAAATTTATTGTGTTAAATTCTGATAATTAATTGAAATATAGTTTATGCATTTTTTGGAAAATTTTAGGCATTAAAATAAATATAATCAGAGGTCATCATTAGTATATATGATAACACACATAAATCTACTAAATATATCTTGTTATTCTTTTTAGATGTGACGTTAGCGTGATAGTAGTGGTCAGATTTGACGCATCACATGAAGCCACATCACTACTGCCGTCATACGAAAAAGTAGCTCCAAGATCCAGTAGTGACCGCTAGCAGATCCGACAATCTAGAAGATGCCATGTTGTAGCCATAAATGCACGAAAAGTAGCCGTTAAATCCAATGGTGGCTATCATGGCATCCGGTGCACATGGATCCCGATAAAGCCTATGCTCTTGCCAATGGAGTATAACGACAATTATTGGGCCCCGTCACCCCTCTTCATTGCAAAATGACGGTGCAAGGATCCAATGTTCTTCATCGAACCACGAGTTAGAGGATATCTTTACAAATATCAATTATCATCTGGTAAAATAGATGATATCGATTATTCTCTCACACGTGTGGAAGGGTATATGTTCAAATATCAATTATCATCTGGTAAAACAGATAATATTGATTATCACTGCACGAGAAAATGGAAAAATGCCAGAAAAATCAGAGAAAAATCGACAAAATATAACAGAAAATAGGAAGTCAAAACAGAAAACGTGATTTGCGGATCTGGGGTACAAAAAGGAGGAAGAGGGGAGAGAAAGGAGGCTATTTTCATAGTTGTGCTTGGGTTGTTCTAGAGAGAAAATATTGTTCTTCTTTCTCATGTGAAAATAGGAATCTCAGTGCATTATTGATTTTGATTATTCTTCTCTGGCTTTTTCACCTTGAACTAGATGCAAGACTTAGAAGCGCTACCCATAGGTTGACATCAAGTCATGCATTCTAAGAGTTGTAAGTTTGATTTTTAATAGAGGTTTCATTATTTTCTTCTTTGATCTGTGAAATAATTTTATTTTTTTAGGTTTAATTATTTCTTTACTTATTTTTGTTCTATTTTTATCATTCCAAAGCATATTTAGTTTGCTCATTTAAATTCATTTAATTTTTAAATTCGTACTTACATTTATTTACCATTTTATTTCCTTTATTACTTTGAATATTAATTTAAATCTTCTAATCAATTTCATAATTCATTACATTAGAGAATAAAAAGATTTTTAAAAAGCCTTCCCTGAGGAGATGACCTAGCTCACCACTATATCTATTTAAATTTTTATTTTTTTTGGGTGAATCTAGTTCTATAAATTATTAAAATTGATTGATGATTCTAATAACAACTTAGAATCACATCAGAAGTCAGTCTCTTCACGTGTATTCCAGTTAAGTGGGAAAAGTCCAACTCGGTTTGTGGGCGCATCTATGCTCAGGACCGCAAGAATGGACTCAAACTACCAAGATATTCATTATGGTGTCGATCGTAGTCAACATCAGCGTCGCAAGCAACTTAAATTAATCCAAGTCAAACGTAAGCAAAATATCTAGCAATTAAGCAAAAGGCTTCTCTATCGTCTCCTACTTGACGGGCTTCAAGAACAATGCCTTTACTATGTCCTCCACGCTTGGGGCCTTGGGGTCGTCGCCGTATCGGTAAAAGCACTGAGACAATCGCGCGAGGTTGAAACAGCCGTTAACGACGGTGAAGGGCAAGGGCGACGCAGCCAACGCATCCCCGTTGAGATCCTTCCAGGCGGTGCTTATCAGCCCTCTGATGTGCCTGCGGGCATCCTCGTCGTCCGCGAGACCTCTTTCTTGCATGTAGCACTCTATGCTTGAAGCCACGTCGCCTCTTTGTTGTTCCGCCTGCAGCACGTCGACGTGGAGAGTCAAGGTTCTGATAGCCGAATAATCAAACCTCGAACCAGTTGAGACTGCTCGGTTATATTTGATAATAATCTTACATAGGACTTCTCTTTATTGAGGCGGAATTGGCGGGAAATATACCTTGGCTGTTCCTAGGTCGTTCCAGAGCCGGAGGATCCTGCCGCTGTGAGAGAACAGGCCGTCGCGACTGCAGACTAGACGTAAGCTCTCCTCCGAGACGGGGCACCCAAGGAGGAGGAAGGACTGCAAGAAAACCACGTAAGTCCCCGCCGAGGTGATACCGTTTCTCAGATACTCTTCTACGCTCGGGACGATCCCTCCGTTGTACCACTTCGCCTCAAGAAGGAGTGCCTCACACATGTCCACCAACTGTACCACGATTGTGCGAGGAAATGTCAGAATAGCGAGAGAGAGAGAGAGAGAGAGAGAGAGAGAGAGAGAGAGAGAGAGAGAGAGAGCGGACGCTCACGGTCTTTCTGAAAAGGGAGGTGACGCATTTTCCAGAGTTCACGAGGACCTTGTAGCTGATCTCGTTGGTGGTGTTATACACGATAAGATAGCATATCTTCAAAACATCAGGCAACTTTTCCATGGCTTGAAGTTCCCACCTTAAACCAGTGAAAAGAGTCTAAAGTTAACGAAACTGCCAACGAGGAAAAGAAGGCAAACTGTTTTACCCGGGCCTGCAAACCTTTTGATGGCATCAGTGAAGAGGGTGAGTTCTTCCAATGATCCATAGCGATCATATAAGTCGTCAAGAAGATGGCACATGCCTACACTTTTAGTGAGCTCTATCCGGGACCTGGAGAAAGAGGGCTGGGGAAATATCCCCGCAGTCCACAGAAAGAACTCCTGTGCACGATCTCTCACAAAGCTGAGCTTATGCGCCAGACCGTGCTCCTTCCACCACCTTGTGAACTCCTCCAGTTCCTCTTGGTGCTGTGACTGAACCAAGTTATAGTCCAGAGACGCGAGCTCCAAGAGAGGTGATGAGTTCCCTTTTGGGTGGGTACTCTCCTGGATGAGCCTCCAGGCTTCGAATCTTTCCATCCTCATGTGCCTCGGGAGCTCGAGGGTGTGGTTAATCTGAGCGAGCTGCTGAGGAGTGAAAGGAGACTTTGGTGACTTTAGATGTTTCTTGCTGAACTCCATGGCGTGGGACATGATCCCTTCGTGGCTGGTTCCATAGTGAGAGGCTTCGTGCAAGCTGAGAAGGCCTCTCCAGTCCGCGGCCAAGGAGTCCTTGAATTTTGCTTCTCTGTTGAGGAACTTGTGGAATAAATCTATAGAACGGAGATCAATCAAAAAGACACGTCAGTAACGACGAATACGCCAGAGAGAGAGAGAAGGGGACGTACCCGGGGCGACGTTGTACCCGTAATTCCTTAAAACCCGAAACCGCTGCGCGGCATGGAAGAGGCCTTCGTCTTCTGCAACTGTGGAGTCGGCGATTCGATCCAGGAGACTTTTAATACCCTCCGTGAAAAGGTATGCGATCCCCAGATGCTGGAGTTTGTCGACGCACTGTATAACATCTTTCGTGGCGCAACTCCTGTTCAGGGTTCTCGCTACCTCTTCCTTCAGCTGTTCTACCCTCCTCCGGCCGAGATCGACCTGTACCTGGTCCTCCAAAAAGCTCGCGGTAGCAATAGGGTACTAGAGAGATGCACCGAGATGTGGGGTGAGACCAACAGAGAAGGACACAGCCGAGGGAGGGAGAAAGAGAGATTGTACCATGTTGTCACGGGGGAGAACCTGAGAAAGGCTATCGGCATAGTGTTGCGGGTATAAGGCAATGGTCGCTTGTGACCAAGGACGAGGACGTGTGCGCGGAAACCACAACCCTCTCCTTTGCTCACAACCCAGAGAAGGACACGAAGACGAGCCCGTACCCATTTTAGGAGCGGGAAGAGCGGGCATCGGTGGAGGGGAGAGGAGACTCCGTTCTCGTCCGCGCTCGGTCGGTGGGAGAAGGCGATTGAGGGGTGGGCGTTAAAAGGAGGGAAGCGCGGCTTCGGCAGGTTTCTCAGGGCTTGAGCAACTCGGTGTCGATCTCAGAAAGTGTTATGCGGTATGGGGACCCCTTCTGAAGGCTTAGTTTCGTCATCATTAGCCAACCAATGTCCAAGGAAAAGTAAACTAACTTCACGCCACACGCGTCCTAGAATGGGCTGGTTGACTCAGTCATTAAGACGGTAATTAAACTAGGTACAGTCGATTCAATGGTATATTATTTATTTTTCTCGTATATTACTTTTTTCTCTACCAATTATGATCAATATGAAAATCTTAAACAAAAGCATGAGATGAAAGAGAAGCTGTTAGGGACCTACTCCCTCGTTGACCAGTATCGGAACAATACTCGCTGCCGGTGCCGTGAGAATGCGGCTGATTAGAGTTGAATAATAGATGAACAGCATTGCTACAGTGATAATGACGACCGGTGACCAGGACTCGTGAAAAGTAACAAGAGAGAGAGAGAGAGAGAGAGAGAGAGACAATGACATGAAGACTCACGCGAGACGAGAAGGGAGACAGAAAGTATGAGAGATAGAGAGAGCGAGAGAGAGGAGTATCCTACGAGGGCAAGTATTAGAGAACCCGACAGCGGATGCCTCTCCCGTGATACATTGAGTGCTCTCCCACTCTTCGAACTTTCTTTTTCCACTCCTATTGTCTGCTCCACTTCTCTTCTATTCGTAGGTGATACAGGAGACAGTTATTCATGCAGTGGTACGATGTGGCCGCGTATTCCACCAAAGAACTCTGCGAACTCAGAGGTAGGTTGCCGGGGAGAAAGCACTTTGATAAGCCGAACCCTTTGTGGCTTTGACCTCTTCTTCCAGGGTATGTGGATGATGTCTGGGGGAAGCTAATTTTTTTTTCATGAAATATTATTTTTAGTCTTTCTCTCAACAATGGACAATACCTACAGTGTCAACGTGAATCACAAGATATGAGTAGGTGAGTACACAGAAAGGAAGTGATACAAGGAAAGCTTCGGAGAAACAAAAATCCGGCCTTTAACCTACAAGGCAAGACGTGAGACATAAAATTCATCAATCCTCCAGGCCACGTAGATTAATTTTTACGATCTTTCAATACATCATCAGACAAAGAAAAGACCCTTTGAAGCTAACATAGGTTTATTAATCCACGAGTAAAAAGAAATTTTACAAAGATTACGAAATTTGTATTATTGGTCATCTCCTTCAGCCACAATGTGTCAGCCTTTAAATATGTCAAAATTCTTTGTGATAGTCGTACAAACTAAAATACATAAGAGAACAAGTTAAAATTAAATTGATAGCAAAAAATTTACTAATACAAATATCAGGAGACATACATATTTTCACGAATGACCTAACAAATTGAATATTAGATTTCGTAAGTTTATGATTACAAAGTTAACTATTTTGATGATCATAAAGATTTTGATTTAGGAAACAGCTAAAATAAGGTAATTATATTATAAGGTAATGACATATTCTGCCGACCTTTTAAAAAGTTCAAGATATCTGAATATCCACTAAAATTGTTGATAAAGTTTATTGAATATTTTCCTTATTCCCTTGTTCAGGTATCAACATATGTGTTATCACATCAGGAGAGAAAGGAGATGAACATTAGACACAACACAAAATGTTAGAACCAAAACTTAATGTTGAGATGGGAAAATTAAAAAATTAAAGGTAAAAAAGACGAAAGATTCTTCTGAATTGGAAACAGAAAATATCAACAAGGTAAAAACTCTTGGAACATTACGGCATGCACTTGCAGTGCAAGAGATTGGTATTCAGTGCAAGCGATTGGAGTGAGTGAAGACATATTAGATGAATGTGTTAGGTCTAGGTGATGCATATGCCTCATGGTCAGTTATAGACTAAAAGGTTCCACCAGGATCACTAGTAAGGTTACAACCTTTATATGTACAGCAGCCCTTCCCTACAATGCCTGCAATGCTTTGATACTAGTAGTTCTCTAAAATTAAACCTGGACGCAAGATCATTTGAAATAGCCAAGTTATCTTGTTATTCTAGACTTTGGTCAAGATTCCTATTTTCCATGTATTATTCCGGATCATTAAAAAGGCTTTGAGGAGCTTTTGTAGTCTGATACAACAATTTGGTACCACAAACAGCTCCTCTTGGCACTCTAAACTTTGGACCTAATTTCTTGAGGATTTTGAATGCTAGTACTTTGCATTTTCCTAGTTTTTGTCCATAATTTATTGCATCTCAGGAAAACTAATATGTGAATAGTCAAATTGATTGTAACCACTTGTTAATGGTTGTTCTCGTCAGGAATAATATTAAATTTTGCTATCATATGATCCACCAACAAGTAGAACCCAACAACGAGAAGATGCATCTTCAAGTATAACCCGGCTTAATTATTCTGCGCAAACTTTCAACACGCCCAGATCAGCTATTGTGACAGGATGTAGATGGCTTTTGAAAGGGTCTACCATGTGCCACTGACTCAATCAATATCCTAAACAACTCATGCGGCGTGACACATAGGTTCCTTTATTTAGTACTGTAGGTATCCATCACTTTGATCTGATTTTGGTTGCTGTAACGTTATAACGCTCTCTCTCTCTCTCTTCTCTCTCTCTCTCTCTCTCTCCCTCCCTCCTCTCTCTCTCTCTCCTCTCTCTCTCTCTCCCTCCCTCCTCTCTCTCTCTCTCCCTCCTCTCTCTCTCTCTCTCTCTCCCTCCCTCCTCTCTCTCTCTCTCTCTCTCCCTCCCTCCTCTCTCTCTCTCTCTCTCTCCCTGTCAATTCATGGGGAGTTTGATATTTCCCGCATATTCCGAGTGAAGCCTGTTTGAAAGGAAACATTTAAACGTTCATCTTAGATGCAGATGCGAATCTACCTCTGCTGCCGATTTATTAAAAAATCATGTCTTACGTATCATCTCCGACATGATGGCCTTTTTACTAGGTCCACGCTTGAGGCCTTGGGGTCGTCGTCCAATCGCGCGAGGTTGAAACAGGCGTCGACGACAGTGGGCTGCGGAGCCATCCCGTCTCCACTGAGATCCTTCCACGTGGCGCTTACCAGCCTTCTGTTGTGCCTGCGGGCATCACCGTCATCCGGGAGGTTTCCTTTCTTGCATGTAGCACTGCATGGTCGGGGCCTCGTCCCCTCTCTGCTGTTCCGCCTGCAGCACGTCGATGTGGAGAGTCAAAGTACCGATAGCCGAATCATCAAAGCTTAAAGCAGTTGAGATGGCGTACCAATATTTAATAATGATCTCAGGAAGGACGTCTCTTTCTATTCCGGGGGAGAATTTCATATATTTTGAGGCGGAGTTAACTGGAAGTATACCTTGGTTGTTCCTGCGCCGGAGGATCTTT